ACGTACGTTGTCCGAATATATTTTTAAATCCGGTACGGATTTAAAAATATATTCGGATAACGTACGTAACTCACGTGTATAAAAATGATAAAATTTCAAATGCCGGATAACAGTTTGTAAATGCAAAATCCGATACATAGAAAATGCCGTATAATATAATATTATAAGCGATTATATAAAGGGTGGTAAATTATATACATTAAGGGATTATACAAATGTGATATAAATTGGTTCAAAACTACCCTTTAAGTTGGTATCGTAGTAATAACCTTATTTTAAAAAAATTGCCTAAAGAATATCAATGGGCTAAACACAACCTATTTATTTACTCACGTGTTTAAATATGCAGAACAACGAACAAAGTTACTTTTTTGGTATCTACCGTACGCACGTACGTACGTACGTACGTACGTACATTTCTTAGTGCCATGCCTTGTTTTGTCATATACGGTAGGACCATCAACGGATTTTAACAACTCTCCATTACACAATGTTGATCCATATCATTAATTACTACGTTATTTTGAATTTTCGATAAAATCACTATAAAAAAAGTGTCATGGCTTTAAAATTGCTTGAAGAAGCTATCACAAACAGCTTTCTTGAAAAGATTGAATTTGACCAATTAGAAGGAGGAGAATTTATTGGCGAAGGTGGATATGCAACAGTAACAAAATGCGTATGGAATATAAAAGGAATATCGGTCGCATGTAAACGAATAAGAAATGTCCAAGAAGATAATGAAAATTCATGGCGTGATTTTATTCGTGAGGTTGAGCTTATTAACAAAATCCGATATCTTAGACGTTAATATATTAGATATTGTAAAGTTATTTATTTCTGAAATTATTTACCATAGTTGAAATTACAGCATAAGCTATGTGCTTCCAAATATGTAATCAGATTACTCGGGGTATCTCAAGGTAGATTTCTTTATTAACATTTATCATATAATTGGGTACTTTCATTAATTAATTGTACGTATATATAAAGACCCAACGACAAAGTCATATCTGCTTGTTCTTGACTATGCAGATGGCGGAACCCTTAGAAATTATCTGCACTCAAAAAAAAAAGAATTGAGTTGGCCTGATAAAATTAAGCTTTCAACTGAGATTGCCAATGGATTACTAGCTCTACACAATGCAAAAATCGTTCATCAAGACCTAGTAAGTTAATGAAACTATGTGCAAATTATTAATTTATTAATTTTAATTGATTATTTTATTCTTTAGCATTCAAAGAATGTTTTAATAATGAAAGGTATAGCAAAATTAGCTGATTTTGGAGCTTCCAGAAGCCTAATAACGAATTCGATTACCGAGGGAAACATTTTCGGAATGTTACCATATGTTGATCCGAAGCGGTTAACAAATCCGAAATTTCGGAGTAAACTGTCTGATATATATGCATTAGGTGTTCTTTTTTGGGAAATATCAAGTTGTAGACCTCCGTTCGATGGATATTCTTTTGACCTTGCCATCAGTATAATGAATGGCAAACGAGAGGAACCAATTGAACATACACCTGTAAAATATCTTAAGCTATATCAAAATTGTTGGAAGTCAGAGCCAGTACAACGTCCTCCTATTGAAGCTGTGTTAGAAACTCTTCAAGGTCTATCGGATGATACAGTTATCGTTATGAATGAAGAAATAAACGGTATGTAATAGTTTGTAGAAAATTAAGTTTTAATTGTTAATTCATTAACAATTTAATTAGTGCCTGAATTTGAATTTCCGCTCATTGAATGTCACGAGTGTAAATGTGAATTTAAATATGAATGGAACGGTTTATTCAGAGTTTGCCCAACATGCATTGATGAAGGGAAAGAATATAAAGAATACGGTACTTATGCACAAGTTCGCAAACGTCGACTGGAGAAAAAATTACCTCCTACATGCCCTAGTTGTCAACTTGTTTTTGACACTACTGAAGATTCTGATCCTTGCATACACTGCTCATACAAATATTTAAAAAATGATTGGGTAAGATGGACTAGCGGTTATTCAAAGATTGATGAATGGATTCACAAGCAACAAGTGCAATCTTCAAGCATTATCAACAAAAATACATTGGAGTTTATTCAATTTTCATATTTTAAAAATGTAGCATCCTTTGATGAAGGTGGTTTTTTTTCAGTGAGTAGTGCTATTTGGATGGGTGGTGGATATAAGGAATGGAATTTCGAAAAAGGTTTATGGGATATTGGAGGTGAAAGAGCCGTGGCGTTGAAAAAGCTTTTTAAGCAAAGTGAAGAAATTGTGCTTAAAGAAGTATGTACTTGTTTCCTATGATACAAAAATATTAAATCATAACTAATTCAAAGGATCTGTTGCATCCTTCTAGCTTAATGTACATTTCATTCTTTCTAGTGAATTTGTTTGTCAATTATACGGAATTTCGTTAATAACATCAACAAGAGAATTGGTGATAGTGACGGAATTAGGTACACAGGGAAACTTACGAACATTCATACGAAATAATTTCGAAAGCCTAATCTGGAAAAAAAAATTAAACCTACTTCATTATGCAGCCAAAGTAATAGATCATGTACATAGCAAAGGATTCATACATCGTAATTTACACCCGTTTAATTTTGTAGTGCATAATAATTTGCCAAAATTGATTGACTTTCAGTTGTGCACTCAAATAGATTCATATAATGTTTCACATTCTGTGGAGATTGTTGGTGAACTTCCTTATATTGATCCAGTTGTATTATATAATAGAGGAAAAGAATATACTAAAAAATCAGATATTTATTCCTTTGGAATAATAATATCGGAAATTCTTACTGGAAATCCCCCATATGATGAAATTCCACATGATATATGTTTAGTACAACAAATTTGCCTAGGTCTTAGGCCCAAAATCGAGAATTGTAAAGTTCCACGGTTACTTTTAGATTTGATGAATAGGTGTTTAGATGCTGAGCCTCAAAACCGACCAACTGCTGAAGAATTAGTAAATATACTAGAACAATATAAGCGCGATATACAAAACGAAAAAACTGAATTATATAAACAGGCTAAAGAAGCAGGGGAAATTAAAATTTTGACTAAAAATTCTCCAATATATGATCAAGTAAAATCAGCACAAATTAACTGTCAGGCACACCCACTGGCCGTTTGCACAAATCACCTTTTGAAGCTTCCTAAACCAATGAATGATGAATCAGGTATGAATGTTACACTATTAAATATTTATGTTTAATGTATTTTCATATTTATTAATACTTGGACTTTTTTTAGTATGTAGACCTATCGAACTTCCAAATTTTAACTGAGTTCTACCAAGAGAAAACCTGCGATCAATATTCAAGTTAACACTATGGCGAGCTTAACTCTAGGAGAAGTATTAAATCACAAATACAATCAGTGTTTTGGTCGTTTCTATACCACGAGTCACTCGTAGTTATATTCGTCATTTAATAAAAGGCTTTGATTAATAAATTATATATTGATATTAAGAATTTAATTAGCGATTATAATCTAGAGATTGTACCGGGGTGGGTATTACACAGGTTATCCGCGGATGATCGGATATCGGGTTGTAATCACCGTTACCCAGGCAGATGTATCCTGTATTATTACGAAAATTTTTTGTTTTTTTCTTTGCATGTATATTTTTCTTTCATTTTTCTATATGTATAGTTTGATTTTTATGCTAGGTTGTAATTACGGGTTTGAGACCCTAAATTCGGGTTTGGAACCTGGTAAGGACAAAGAATTTTTTTAGAAGTTTTTACAAAGGAGCAATGAGAGTTTTTTTGTCAGTAACTTGGTTAATATTGGGTCAAAAATCTTTGTTAAGGACTTGTTTTGACCAGGTGAGTGAGCTTAACAACTTATCTTAGTACCACAAATAAGTTGTAAAGGGCAGTTTTTGAGAAATAATTAAAGTTTAGATTTTAAAACCAAAGAGTAGTTTTTGTAGTGTTATGTTACAAGTTTTTAAGATAGAAGCTTAAAATTTCAAATTATATGTAAAATTAAGAGTTAAACAAGTTTATTTAAGATGCCTAAGGCAGTTATCTTAATAAAATCGTGTTATTAATAATTAATTTGAGTTAAATTTTGTGATTGATGGATTTCATATAATAATTAATACATACAGTCTAACCTCCATATAAATACACCCTTGGAATACAAATAGTGGTGACAATATAAAGGTGTGACTATTATAGAGGGAATTCTATATAATTACAATTATAATAAAATTGGGATTTAATTTATAGTGCTATAGCACTATGTTGCTAAAGTATTGTAACAAATTAAAATTCAAGATCAGGTGTAACATGCAGATCACACCTTTGTGTAACATAAATAATAAATTTTTAAAAAATTAGTTATATTTTAAATGTTTACTTAAAAAACCATCTTTTGTGCTTTAATAAAAAAATTTAATGCAAAATTTAGTATAGTCTATATCCTGCCTAACCTTAACCCCTGTTTTAAACTAAACTAATTAAAAGTATTATTTTTGTAAAGATTAGATTGTTTTGATTTACATGGTACACCAATATTGTATTTACATATTTGATAGCACTATGGCACTATAGTACTATAATAATATTCCCATAAAATTATTAAAAAAATATAATATATAATGAATTTTACTAACTATAACTAGCAGTGATCATTACTGATGCATAATTAGCAAATAAAATTGCAGAATCAGGTGTAATGTGCAAATCAATTTGTGTAACCAAAATAAAGATTTTTTTTTAAAAAAATGCTGATATCTCAAGAATTCGCCTATGAAACTACCTTCAATATTCTAACTGAAACTACTTTCGACATTCTAACAAAAAAATTCCTTGCTAAATTTCACATATATTTAACACCTTGCTAAAATCTCAGGCCCTAAATTAAATGAAATGAAAATTTTTTTAGTTTATCGTTATTTGTTAATTATATACCAGTGATGATCACTGCTAGTTATTTTAAGTAAAAACTACATATAATTATATAAAAAATGGATCTCCTTTAGTATAGGTGGGCACGCTCCCTAAGGGTGATCTTTAGTGAAGGTGGGCAAACTCCGATGAGTA